TGAAAATATATAGAACAAAACTTATCATTGATAAGCATGTTGATGAAAAACAGAGTACGAAAAATGAACTCTAAAAATCAAAAACAACTCCACTGTCAACTCTCTTTGAAATTAATCAAAAAACAGAGAATGAAAAATGAACTCCAAAAATCAAAATCAACTCTATCAAGTTGGCCTCTCTTTAAAATTGATCAATAACAAAGAATGAAACAACTCCAAAAATCATAAACAACTTCACTGAGCTAGCCTCTCTTTTAAATTGATCAAAATTGAAAACAAAAGCTTAATGCAAAACACACTCGAAAAACTAATATGAAATCGAAATCCTTACATACAATTCAAACACAAAATTCGAAATCTATATGGAATCTCCATCGAAAACATACCTGATTCAATTTCACTGAAAAACCTACATGATCAATACCACTGTAACACTTACATGATCATAGCAATCTCCATCGTTAAGTCCACTGCAACATATGCAAAATCCCTACGAAATCTCTACCGTAAAGTCCATCCCCATGAAATCTTCTACAAAACAGCAATAGAATATTCAGTTTGCCAAAATCCAAACAAATGTATTTTATAAAGAAGAGTAAATTAGGTATTTTACAACGTAAAATAAGGTTGAAGGACCTTAGGCAACAAAAAATATTATTGTGGACCTCTCCTCCTACCAAAAGTTGGACAGGGATTTTAGACCAATTTTCCCTAATTTTAAATAATGAGAAAATTGACTTCCTTTCTAATAAAATAAAATATTTATAAAACAAGATAATATGTTACAATTAATGCCCCGTTTGACACCGACTTACAACACCTAAAAAATCCATAATATAAAATAGGATAAATTATAGCTTTTTAATTTACTAAAAATATAGATTGTTCTCAGTAATTTGAAAAAGGGCACTCGGTTAAGAAATCCAATTTCAAATTTTCTTGGTTTAAAGATCAAGGCATTGATTTTCTTTACCTATAGGCTATGTTTGTTTGGCGGATTAGGTTGTATAAGATTGTTAGTGAAATGATGGTTAATGAAGAGATTTTTAATGTGGAAACTGTTAGTGAGGGGATTAAGTACAAGTGTAATTGTTTTGATGACAGTGTGGGAGATGGTTAATGATGAGATTATTGAATTATTTTTATATAAAATAAATAAATAAAATTATTACTATATTAAAAGAAAAAAAAAAACTAAAACAAACATGTGCACTTGATATAAAAAAATAAAATTAAAAAAATAAATTTTTTATATAAAATAGAATCAATCTGCTCGCTATTTTTCTAATCCTACCTAAAATCCAACCAAGCTAATCCCCCTCCTGAGAGGGATTACTAAGCCCCTCACACTATTAATCATTTTTCTCAAATCATCACAAAACAAGCTATGGGTGAGACCCACACCCATACTAATCCAATCCAGCACCCTACCTCCTTAAACAAACATGGCCATAAGGACAAGCATATGTAAAATGACCAACATACCCTTCTGTATATAAACCATATACAACACTACCTAAATCCTAAACACTCACACTCCTCTCTCTCTCTCTCTCTCTCTCTCTCTCACACACACATCCGTTTCATACACGACAACGCTAACGCCAATGCCGACTCCGTTGCCTCAGTCACTGCCGCCACCACCACTTCCACATCCACTTCCGTCACCGCCCTCTCTCTCTTCTCTTCTTTTTTTCACTTCCACCTCCATCTCCACCTTTTGTCTAAATTAGATATATAAAAGATGTTTTAAATCATCAGATCTTATAACTTCGCGCTGAGATTCATAAGTTCTATGCGGAAGACTCAGAGCCTGAGGATGTTTCAAGTGACAATTCAACAATATCAACACACACACACACACATCACACACTACCTCATAGAGTTTTCGTCGTCGGATTAGATAGCGTGGCGTAGGCTTTGTGAATCTCGACGAAATCTTAGTTGTCTGATGAATCACTATGATATGATGAAATGTCAGATAGAAAGCTCTGATACGCTGTCTTGATCTCCACCAGCGATGCGTTTCACCTCATTTTCAAGACTTCGTGGAGGCTTGCCGATCTCGACTTTTCACAGTTACACTCTAACCATTACTCTCTCTCTCTCTCTAGGAGTACATAGAAGCAACTAAGGGAGTGAGAAGATGAACATCTCTGTAATGCCTCAACTCTTTACATGTCATCGATATTGTCGGCTTTGGGCTACGCTCGCACGGAATTTGTTCTTCCTAGTGAGTCACCCATCCCAGAATTACTCCAGCCTAAGCACGCTTAACTGAGGAGTTCTGCTAAGGATTTCACCACCCGGGAAAAGGTCTCGATGCTATACAAGGGGCCACGCTTTTACTTTTATAACCTAGGAACTCCCCTTCTATTCCCGATGTGGGACACCAGGACTTTACATTCCATCCCGTTTAAGGCTGCACTTCCTCGTGCAATAGTCTACCAGCTCACAAGCCTGTCCATATACAATGAGAAACGCCAGGGGCACATACTTGGTACTTCGGAGAGTCGGCTCTGATACCATTTGTAACGCCCCAACCCTTTATATGTCATCAATATTGTCCATTTTGGGCCACGCCCACACAGATTTGTTCTTCCCAGTAGGTCACCCATCTTATAATTACTTCAGCCTAAGCACGCTTAACTAGGGAGTTCTGCTAGGGATTTCACCAGCCGAAAAAAGGCCTCAATGCTATATAAGGGTCCAGGTTTTTACTTTTATAGCTCAGGAACTCCCCCTCCATTCCCGATGTGGGACACCGGAACCTTACAATCTTTTCACCTAATAGAGCCAAAAGACAATTATTTCTTTATCTCTCAACTTCTCTTCCTAATATCCATGGTAGCAAGGCTCCTCACTCTCTGCCTCCTCCTCATATGCGCCTCACGTGGTCGATCTCAGGTCAACGAGAGCACCACCGACATTTAGCTCACATCGGACTCGTTCGTGTGGCTATCTTCCACCATGTCACTATATAACAGTGAGAAGTTTGAAGACAATGAAGTTCAGAAGCGGCAGCAGTATAGTTGCGGAGGGTGAAGGGAAGTGGTAGAGAGAGAGAGAGAGAAGTATAGAGAGAGACTACAAGAGAGAAGATGATTTCCTTAGGAAATAATTTTTTTTTATTTCTTATTTTTATTGAGTATTTTAACTATTTAATGATTTTTTTTTTCACTCAATGTTTTACCAATTATTTATCAAATTCAAATATTGATTTATTTGTATGTATAGGTATTGTTGTTGTTGTGTGTATATTTCAACTGTTTGATGATTTGTATTTGGACAGAAAAATTTTTGATGATGGTGATAAAACAGATGTATATGAATTTTATCTGTTCAAACCAAATTTTTGCAACTAAAATTTGCATAAATAAAAGGTTGTCTTTGATCTATCCAAATTAAATAGAGATTTTTTCAAAAGAGAAACAAATAGGGAAAAAATAAGAAATTAAACAGATAAAAAATATAACAAATAGAAAAAATAAATTATAAAAATTCAACAGATGAAAAAAAATAGCAGATAGGTTAAAAACATTTAACGGATAATTTTTTTTTTTTTGAACAAATAGACAAAAAAATTGAACAAATAGTCAAATTTTGAACAAATAAGAACAATTTTAAACAGATAATTTTTTTGAACAGATAGTCAACGAAAGTCAATAGATAAAAAAAGTTCACAGGGGTAAAATTGGAAATAAAATGTCCTTTAAAACCAATAAAATGACTTTTCACCAAACTATTTCACAAAAGTTGGATTTATCACCAACAAAAAATATTCACTGGATCTATTGCCTTAGACATTCTCTAAATTGGATTTATCACCAATTTTTTCTTTGAAAAATTATAAATACTCCTTATCAGAATTTTTTATTTAACAGAATTAACTGAAAAAAATATATATTCAACTGCCCTTTTATACAGTGGTAAAATTACTTAAATTATTAATTGAAATAAATTTATGATATCATTAAAAACTATTAACTTGATAATTTATTAATAAAAGGGATAATTTATTATGAAATTAGAAACTTCAATGGGTGTGATGTAATATTATGAAATTAGAAACTTCAATGGGTGTGATGTAATTTCTAAAATTACAAAAAATAAATCATACTTTAAGTAAATCATAAGGATAGGGGTGTAAAAATGGCCCGAGACCCATAGGTGGACCGTGATAGACCCGACCCAGTTAGGCCCAAGCTCGAGGCCAGCCTGTGACCTTGAGTTTGAGTTGTCATTTTGAAACTTAGCTTGGCTCATCTAGCTTGGTCTATCGGTCTGCTCAAGGCTTACTCAAAGCCCAGCTCATCCAAGAGTCCGTGTCATTTTTAATGTAAAAGAATAAAATTTTGATAGAAAAAAATATTTAAAATAACTAAAAAAAAGTTCAGGTCCGCTCCAAGCCCGAGCCCAGCCTTGTCGGCCTAGCTCGAGGTTTGGCCTGTTTAAGGCTCAAATACCCCTGGGCATAGGAGTGGGCTTGAGCCTTATTGTTTGACCCGTGGGCCAACTCGAATTTTGATGAAAACCCAAAAAACCTGAAAAACTCGACATCGATCGGCCTGAATCCGAACCCAAATGGGACGGGTCGGACCCAATTTACACCCCTACATAAGAGCATCCCCACCCGTTTACATAAATTTTATCTTAAAATATTATTAAAAAATTCATTCCCTATTTTAGGAATCACATTTTCATCTACTTCCCCCAACAGACTCCATATTTTTTCTCTATTTTATCAATAAACTCCTTATTTTTTCTTTATTTTATAAAAATATAATTTTTTATTATAAATTTAAAAAAAAATAAAAATCATAAATATGTACAGTAATCTCTAAACAAAAAAACAAAAAAAAATATAAGAGAGTTATAATAACTCCTTACAAATAAGAAATTATCATAACAAAAACTAATTTAAAAAATTATTTAAGGGAGGTGATGCAAGCGTATAAAAAGCCATCTGCCCTTTAAATTAGACAAGGATGAAGGGAGGTTTAAGGGTTCTGGTGAGATGCTCTAAGGGGTGTATTTGTAATTTACTTGATAAAATATCAACTTTTATGCAGTGCCAAACAGCATCTAAACAAGGAGCAAGGATCCTCTAGAGTGATTTTTCCCTAAAGTTTCCTAAAGTGCTACAGTGTATGGTTGAGATTTACTGACAAGTCACATCAATTTTTCTGATGTGACTTGCCAGTAAATCTCAACCACACAATATAGCACTCTAGAAAATTTTAGGAAAATTTCACTCTAGAGGATCCTTGGTGCTAAACAAGGCAACTTGTAATACAGTGCCACCTGTTTAAACCCTCCCGCTCTTACGCGTCTACTCTCTCTGATGCGACGAAGCTTTGGCCGACAATGGCGGCGATCACATCACGAACCCCGACGACTCATCTTCACCGCCAAATCAACTCCAAATCCTCGCCGTCCGATCAAAAACTCATCACAATCGTCAAACTTCCGGTAGCTCATTCCGAACGGCGTCGTAGCTTGGCCGTCTTGGCTTCTCTCCATCGCGACAATGGCGATGAATCGCCCAACGCCTATGGAAGCAAGAACAAGAACAATTCAATCGAGTTCCAGAAGCTTCTAGAAGACTCGCCAAATGAATTCAACTCAAAAGACATAAACTCACTTCCAAGTAACTCTCCTTCGAGATCGAATTTTGAATGTTTATTTTTCTAGGTTTATTATTATTATTATTATTTTTTGGATTTGATGATTGAATTGCAGGGCCTTTGAGTTCTACGCATCTCTCCGTCTCTGATCGGTCTCGCCTTCGTGTTGCCTATCAGGTTTAGCTTGAATTATGTGTATCGATATATACACATACTTGATTGTAAATTGTGGTGTTGTTATTTGTGATGTGTTCTTATTGAAATTTTAGGGAGTTGGTGGTGCGTATAGCGAGTCTGCGGCGGAGAAGGCGTATCCCAATTGTGAAGCTGTTCCTTGCGAACAATTCGAAACTGCTTTCGATGTATGGCTGCCAACCATTTAATTACAATTTTGAACACCGATCGGTTTATGTGTGTGTTTGTGTAGTTTGAATTGCTAAATCTTGAATGGAATTTTCCTCAATTTATACTAGAAGTGACACATATGATCATTTTCTTTCAAAGAAAATAGTTCATATAAATCTTGAATGGAATTTTCTGCATGTATGATCATTTTCTTTCAAAGAAATAAGATTGTGAAATGGATGATTGAATTTAGAATTTGAAAATTGAACTATTTTATGAATCTAGAAGGATCAACAGTTGAGAGATTTTGACACACACACTAAAAAGAAAAAAAAAAAAAAAACCCTGAATTTATAACTGTCAATGTAACTGGTATTGGATTTGAAAATAAATAAATGAATAAATCTGAATGTAGGGCACAATTGTCCAAAGAGACATTAAAACCAACTCGAGCCTTTTCTTTATGATAACTAATAGATAGATAGATAGATAGATAGATAGATAGAATAGAGTAGTATAGATATAGAATATAGATAGATAGATATGTAATAATGTAAGCTGATGCACAGTATGTTGAAGATGATAAGATCATATTGTCAATGGTGGCTCCAGGATTTATCTTTGGGGTCAATAAAGAATTTACACAAATTTCATAGAGAATTATTTTTCATTCTTATCAATATTATTTTCAATAATTTGACAAATACAATTTAAAGTTCTTAGAATCATAAATATTTAAAGAAAAGAAATGCAGATACATAAACTTCCACATTGCCGTCAAGTTTTCATAATTTGAAGTCATTGCATAATATCATTTTAAATGTATGTGATTAGACAATCATTTATCCATTGATCTTCGTTTTGATTGTGCAATTGATTCTTTATGAATTTCACTGCAAAAAAGGCTTTTTCCACCATTTTACTCTCTATAAAAACAATGAGATATATCCTTTGTACCAAATTCCCCCCATCCCCTATTTTAAACACTCTCTCTACCATCCAGTTAATGTCTCTAGAACCAATCGTGTGGTTGGGTAGAGTTTTGAGATAGGAGCTGAAGGGAGATTGGGTACATAGGGTACTCTTAAAAAGACTCATTTCACAAGTTGACTGAATCTTTCTAAATTCTGTTTTTGCTCTTTACAGTTTTTTTTTTTTGTAAATCAACATGGTCAGTTTTACCAATAAATAAAACAAATTGCCAATGGGTTTGTAAAATCTACTGAGGTCAATTGACACCATATGCTTGTACGTAGTGCACCTATGCATATTGTTAAAATCGTGCAATACGCGATACCTAGGAAGCACGGATACAGATTCGGGGCACGGATACAGATTCGGGATACGGATACGATACGATACAATACGGATACGGCGATATGACAAAATTTGAAAAACTAGGATACGGGTACGGCGGGGATACGTTCGTAAAAAATATTATGTTAACAATTTTCAGTAATGCAGTATGTATAAAAATAAAACCTAAAGCAAAAAACAACTTGATAAAGAAGAAAAATTCCTATAAAATTAAGACTCTTCAAGGTCAATAGTTTCAACTTGTTCCCCTTCATCAGTGAATATCACAAGACCTTAGCTAAAGCCAAAAAATCATTCTTAAATAAAAATTTCAGCAAATATACTTTTTTAAGTCATCAATGATAGCCTAAGTGTAAAAATTTATGTATTATTGATTGATGTTTATTGATATTGATATCTATTACAATGATTCATGATTCCTATATATAGAAGATACAGATTTGGGGTACGGATACAGATTTGGGATACGATACGATACGATACGGATACGGCGATACGACAAAATTTGAAAAACTAGGATACGGGTACGGCGGGAATACGTTCGTAAAAAATATTATGTTAACAATTTTCAGTAATGCAGTATGCATAAAAATAAAACCTAAAGCAAAAGACAACTTGATAAAGAAGAAAGATTTCTATAAAATTAAGACTCTTCAAGGTCAATAGTTTCAACTTGTTCCCCTTCATCAGTGAATATCACAAGACCTTAGCTAAAGCCAAAAAACCATTCTTAAATAAAAATTTTAGCAAATATACTTTTTAAAGTCATCAATGATAGCATAGGAAGCACGGATACGGATATGGTGATATGGGGATGTGGATATGGCGATATGTCAAAGTTTGAAAAAGTATGATACAGGTACAGCGGGGATACATTCGTAAAAAAAAAAAAAATTATAATTTTAATAATGTAATATGCATGAAAATAAACCTTAAAGTAAATTAATAAATAAAGAGAGGGATTCCTATTAACCTAAAAGTGCTCAAACATTCATAAAACATCCAAAACTAAAAGCAAAAGCAAATGCAGATGCAAATTAAACATCATCCTTACATGCTAACACCAAAAAAAGAATGAGAGTAAAGAGAAGAAACGTGAGAGAGTGAGAAAGCGAGAGAGAAGTGAGAGAGACAACAAGGATACATCAATTTGACAAATTCTATTACTTTAACTCATTATATTCCTCTTATCAAAGAACTAAACAAAATATTATAAGTAATATGTAATTTTGAGTATCCGATACTTCAAAATTAAGTATCTGATACTTCAAAATTAATAAAAAATTAATTAAGAAGTATCCGATACTTTTAAGAAGTATCCGATACGTATCCGCGAGTATCCGAGGAGTATCGGTATCCAATATGAATACGTCACCCTTTTTGAAGTATCCGTGCTTCATAGCGCGATACATATTGTATCGTATGGAAAAGGATACGTATTGTGGACTCGTATTGTTGGTGACTTGAATCATGAGATATGTTTCCGTATCGTATTGTGATTCGACTCGTATCTCACGATTCATTAATTTTTACCTTCTTCTTCATCTTTTGCCGCATTAGCTACTTTCTCACTATCAATCACATAGTTAACACTCATTGAATAGTCATAAACTATAATATTAGAAAAATTCCATACAAAGGCGACCCAAATTCAAATAAATTTGCAAGAAAAATTGACTCCCATACTTCTTTTGCTACCAGAAATTAAACTGCTATCATGAATAAATTGATTGATTTTTATATACCTGATTGACCTATTTGGTCATTTTTACATGATTTAGTTGTTTATTTTTGCAATGTATTTATATATTATATGAAAATACTTATTTTATTTATTTATATTTATTTATGATAATGCATCTTACAATACATGATACATGAAAATGATATAATGATACACGCTATGTATCATGATTTGACAACACTGGTCAAAATATTAAACTATAAGAGACCTAAAATTTTCACATTGTTGAATATATGAGAGATCTCATAATTTATGTCTTCACATTTGTATCTTTGATTTATCACAATCCCTACAACTAAGGGATATGATTGTAGCTACTACCCTATATATATATATATGGGTGTTATTGATGTAAATAAATTATCTAAGAGTGAATGAGAAAATGTAGCTCATAGGGGTTTTGTGTGTGGATGTAGGCCTATCTTGGCCGAACCACTGTGTTCTTGCTTGTTCTTCCATTTTTCTCTATCTAAAATTTAAATATTCCAAGTATATTTTACTTGATGGTCCTCCTACCTAATCCTTGGGAAGAGCTGGTTAATTTATCAGTTTTTTAAATCACTATGTGCATAATCTGACTCAATCCACCTGGACTGTATAAGAACTATTTGGAATCATGTCTATGTTTGTACACTTTCATTCTTGATTCCACTCTACTAGCATCTTCCATGAGCTAAATTTACAAAAGTTAAAAACTTAAGATTTTGTCTTAGCTTTCTCAAGAGGAGAAACTCTTTTTTACAACTCACTTTTTTATCCCATAAAAAATTTGAATGCAATCATTCCATGTTTCAATTTTCTGTTTCTACACTTCTAAAGCTCATACGTTCCATGTTTCATTTTTTCCTTCTTTTTTTTTTTTTTTAAATAAGGTAAATTACACTAGCTTCTCTTAAGGCTTGGAAAAAATACATTAAGCCCTGCAAGTTTGACATAATTATGATGGGCTCCCTTAATGTTTGAATTCACATGACACTTTACCCTCTTACCATCAGTCATTTGTTAGTCATATGGATGAAAAATAATGTTGCCATCTCTTTTGTACAAAAATATATATGTTACCATTGATTATCCTTGTGTTCACCCATCATTTGCATTAGTTTCGTTTGTTTTACCGTTTCTAAAAGGGTGGTTAGTATAATTATATCAAACTTGTGGAGCTTGTATTTTTTTTCAAACCTTAAGGGATGTAATTTATATACTATATGGTTGTCTGATTGAGAATTGTGTCTCGCAAGGTGCATTGTTTCTAACTTTCTTTTATGCTGTAAACATAGTGTCAGCTTTGAATACACAAAGCTGCCCTGTGTCTTTGCCTTCATTATAGATGGACTATAAAGATTTGATTCTTCTCTGTTGTTCTGATTGCAGGCTGTGGAACGGTGGCTTGTTGATAGAGCAGTTTTACCAATTGAGAATTCTCTAGGGGGAAGCATTCATAGGAATTATGACCTTTTACTTCGTCACAGATTGCATATAGTTGGGGAAGTGAAACTTGCGATCCGCCATTGTTTACTGGCTAACCATGGTGTTAAAGTTGAAGACCTGAAGAGGGTTCTAAGCCATCCGCAGGTGTGGCATCCTTACTTCAATCATTTTTATGATTGTTGTACATCAAGGATTTTATTTGAGATTTGATGATATTTCAGGCTCTTGCACAGTGTGAGAACACACTAACAAGGTTAGGAATGGTCAGGGAGGCTGTGGATGATACTGCTGGTGCAGCAAAGGTAGGTAAAAATTAGCAGTTAGCCAACTGTTTTGTTAGCTCCTCCAAATTTTAAGCTTTTGTTTCGGGTTATTTTCATCTTTAATCAACTTTATTAAAACCTTTTATCAATATTTTTTTTTTGTCCTTTTTAGATCTGTCTCAACTAGACGAACATGAACATGTAAGATTTTTTTTAAAAAAAAAATTGAAAAGGTCTACTAAAGATGAAAATAAGGCATTTGTTCGGCTTTTTCGACAAAAAATGGTTTATTTTCATTTTTAGTGGACACTTTTTTAATAAAAATATCCAATATATGTTTTTTTTTACCAAGGTCTTCTAGTCAAGACGGATCTAAAAACTAAAAATAAAAAAGGGACAATTTTTGAAAAAAATTCACTGAAGATGAAAATAAGCCGAACTAAATAAGCCAAACAAGCCCTACTGGCAGTGGCTGGGGATGGCCACTCTTGCTTTTCCAGAAGAATCCTATGCATTTAGAGGAGTGCTGGATACCACAGTTGATAATTTTGCATAGAAGGCCTCCCAGGCCAAGAGGCCAGGTTAGCTTGGCTAGCCTGAATGAATATATGTGTTTATCCTTTTTCTGGTTATTGATGCAACTTTTCAGTTGATAGTCTGTAAATTTTTTCAACTAATCATGATTTTTGTATGATTGTAACCTGTGCAAAATTTCTTCATGTTTATAGTTTGTTGCTTTCCAAAAACTCAAGGACACTGGAGCAGTTGCTAGCTCTACTGCTGCAAGTATCTATGATATGGATATACTTGCTCAAGATATTCAGGTAGGTATCTGAAGTTTCTAGTTTAGTTAAAAACTAAACTGTCCTTCATTGTGGATATTGTGAATGCATTGATTCCCATTGAATGAGTAATGTAATGCTTTGTCTCCAATAGGATGACTCTGACAATGTCACTCGATTTCTAATGCTTGCAAGAGAACCTATAATTCCTGGCACTGATAGGCCGTTCAAGGTTGGCCTCTCCCTTTATGAATAACAGGCTATTGTAGTATATAAGTTACCACGATTCTCTACTCCATATCTGCTTGAAAAAGTCAAGTTTCTACAATATTTTGTATTAAGTTTCACTAACAGTTGTTTCATTTTTAGACTAGTATAGTTTTCTCGCTTGAGGAAGGTCCTGGAATGCTTTTCAAAGCACTAGCTGTTTTTGCAATGCGAGAAATTAACCTAACCAAGTTATGTTCGTTTGGCTCAGGAATTTTTGTTGTCTCTTCTTGTTGTTTGATTTAAACTATACTGCTCAGGACTGCTGTGCTGACAGCCTTCATTGTTACTTTTGTTGAACCAGATTGAAAGTCGCCCACTGCAGAAGCAGGCCTTGGGAGCACTTGATGACAGCAATAACGGGTTTCCAAAGTAAATATCTTGCGTTATATTTCTGTAGCATGTATATATATTTGACCCTTTTATGATTGTGTTGCACCAACATTGTAGCCATACAGTGTCTTCTCTAGTGCATTTATGTCCTTGTTGCATTTGATATTCTTGTACAGGTGCTTCCCTTATCTATTCTATGTAGATTTTGAAGCGTCAATGGCTGAACAAAACGCACAGAATGCCCTTGGGCATTTAAAGGTTTGGTTTCTTTTAATCATACGCCTTTGAAATTTAAATCCTAGCTATAGTCCATAGATGATAATGGAAGACGCATTCCTGTGGCAGGAGATGGCTACATTCTTGAGAGTGCTGGGGAGTTACCCGGCAGACATTAGCATTGCATGAATGGCCATTCTAGCCTGGTAAAAATCCATTATTTCTACAATTACGCTAAGTAGATCTTTCACAGACTCCTGTGTGTTTAAGGTCATTATCTGTATTAAAAAGAAGGTGCTCGTATTAAAATAAGTAGAGTTTCCACAAAGCCTGATCTAGTATGTTGTGGCACTACTTCCAGTGACATCAATTCATTTGCATCATTAGTTCTAATTTAGTATCACTTGTTACTAAACAATTTGTTCTGTGATGAATCTATAAGGGACAGTGGTATATTAAAAACGCTTTTCAATATAAATTAAAAACTATCAGGTAGTACTTAAACTGATTTAGGGTAGAAACTCCTAGCAGAACAATATATAGTTGACCATTTTCTTTAAAGTTTTCCTTTCATAGACCGAATCTGTATATTTATGAGATTTGATTTATGATATTGTATGGCTTTTGAATTAAGTGAAGTTTTGATTTCTTTTGAGTGGATTTTCTGAGCATCCTCTTCTGATACTTTTACCACCGCTTTGCTGTTGCTAATTCATGCAGGGTTCTTGAAGGGATTTTCGGGTTTTCCAGTGCCAAAGAGATTTGCCTAAATTTTTGTTTTCTTTGTTCAAGGAATTAAGTTTGCCCTCATCAAAAGATATGTACAGAAATTATAACTAGAATTTTTAGTCTGTTTTCAGTTTAGAAGATATGCTCGTTTTGTTCTCACAACATGCTGAAGCATCACTCAAACTTAAGGTTGTTTTATTCACTTTTCAATGTGCATATGATTTTTGGTTTTCAAAATCTTGTTCCTCTTTTAGACAAGAGGGGTACACTTGAGCTGTTGATGTTTATTTGGAGATGCAACCCACAACCTCTCCCTTACAATCACCAAGTGTTGCTTCCAGGCTAGTAACTTTGACTCACTTTTAATATTGTAATTTGTATCCTTTAATTTTTTTTAAAAAATTCTGAGGGAACCCCAGCCACAAAACTTTGTTGTAGTGTTATTTTTTAATAATAAAACTTTTGGGCAAATTAAACACTTTGTAATTTGTCTCTTGTGTCAATTTAATTTTATAATTATAATATAGGTAAATTACAATAAACATTCTTAAATCATGGCTCATTTACATTTTCTTCCTTGAAGTTCAAAACTCAACAGTTAAGTATTATTTGATTACAATTAACTCTTTTTGTTTAGATTCTGTTAGAAATTTACAGAAAATCAAAGCATATATAAGCATGTGGCAAAATTATTAAATTTTTAGGCCAATAATATCTTTATCTGATAATCTTGTTTGCATTTTGTCATTGAAATAAAAGAGACAAAGTGCAAATAAAATTATCAGATAAGAGTTTTATTATCCTAAAACAATCAATAATGTGTATTATTATCTTATAAATTCAATAGATGTGTTAAGTGCTTTACACATGATGTGATTTTCTATTAGTTTCTAACAAAATTTTAACAAAAAGGGGTTAACTGTAATAATATAATATTTTGAAGGGTTAGTTGTTGAGCTTTGAAGTTTGTGGGGGTAAAGTGCAAATGAGTTATAATTTAATGGAGTATATTATAATTTATTCTTGTAATTTTATCAATATATTAATTTTGCCCTTAAATTTTTCAAATGTGATTGAGACTCCCATTTTCCCTTCACCCCCACCAACCCTACACACACGTGGGGGTTGGTTATTGGAAGAAAATAAATAAATAAATAAAAATTTCTTGGCCAATCAGACCTCACTGTGAGTCCTAGGGGTCATCCCAATGGGGTCTGAAACATTTTTATAAATTTTTTACATTGCGTCAAATCAAATTGATAAAGTTCTTTTTTAAATGAATAATTTATGATATGAACCCCACTTTAATTATCTTAAATAAGATTGTGTGGTTGGAATTGAATGTATAATTGTGGAGTTTATATGTAAAATAAATCTGAATTATAAGATGATAATTTTAGATAATTAAGTTTAGATGTATAGTATTACTGTTTTAAAATTGATTTTCACTGTAATCAAATGACAAAATAGTCCATTCATTCTTAATTTGAAATACTAATTTAATTCCTTTTAAATAGATCATTTTGTTTTTATTTTGTTTTATTAAACTTCTTAATGATATTATCAATTAAATTAAATTAATATAATTTAAAAATTAAATTAATATAAAAAGTAAACTACAAGGATTCAATTTATCCTAAGTCCTGTTTGTTTTTAGAGGTAGAATGGAAGGGATTCATAATGAGGGGATTGATAGTGATAGTTGTTGGTATAAGGATTGTTAAATTATTTTTATATAAAATAATAAAACAAATAAAAAATACAAAACATCAAACATTAATGTTTAAAAAAATATCTAACATGTAAAAAATTAAAAATTAAAAAAATTTCAATAAAAAATAATTTTTACTTAACAAAAAATATAAAAAATTAAACATTAATGTTCAAAAAACTTGCCTAACATTTAAAAATTAAAAATAAAAAAAAAATAGTCTGACGAACTAATTTCTAATACCAAATTCTACAAGTCTATCCTAATCCTCTCCCTAATGAGATTCATAATTCAGAAAAAATTACAAATAAACATAATTCCATAATGAGATTCATAATTTCTCAAAATAAACATAATATTAATAAATTTTATCCCATTATAAATTACAATCAATTCCCTGTAACCCAAAACAAACGGCCTAAAACTTTTTGTAACATGTGAAATGTTTGGCACCCGTAAATGGGAGGAAGCCACGCTCGTTGTTAAAGTTTGGTTGGCGCGTTTTTCGTGTCAGGGTTGGAAAATGCACATGTTAAGTTGATTTAACAATAATTTATTTATTCACCCAAAAAACAATAATTTATTTAATTTATTATGTTTATTTTTTAAAAAAATAAATGATAAACGCTTTTTTTAATAGATCGTATATTATTTTAATGATAAATTAATCAATTAAATAAAAGAAAAATAATAAAGCTTCGGACCCCAGTGGGGCGCTGGGTCCCTTCCCATTGGTCAAAAAAATAGTTTTTTTTTTTTAGTTTTCAGCCAACCCCAGGCTGACCTAGGGGTCACTGGGGGTCTGTAGCATTGCTGAAAGAAAAATTAATCTAAGGTGCCTTTCTCATTTTTTGTGAGGGAAGAGATCCACGAAATTATTTTTTGATACCTAAGGTCCCTAAACATATATCAGAAAAATTTGACTTTGTATCTCTCCTCCTCTCCTTTACTGCTACCTTTTAACCACAACCACAACCACAACCACAACCACATGTAGGCCCCTAGAAGAAGATGTACGCGTTCGAAGGTTCGTATACCGACACGAGCAACATAGGCTCTACCAGCGGCCCATGTGGCTTCAGCTATGTATCGAACCTCCCTTACGGCCAAAATCTATGAAGCTAATTGGAGCACGGAAAAAGAAGAGTAATATCCAATACCAATAAGCAGAGACTCTAGTTGCGGAATAATAATAAAGAAATTCATGGAAAACATTAACTGGTGATATCAAACCTCTTGTAGACACTACTGGAGATTGCAAAACTTGCCAACGCACTTGTTGTTGACTCTAATAAGTAATATGTTTTGAAGAAAGAAAGATCGACGGAACAAGAATGAAAAGGCACCCTGGAATTTGGATGGAATGGATGCGACGAGCGAACATACCTAGGACGAACCCATTGTTTGGGAAAAAAATTCCAATACTCACTAGACCAACTTCTCTCATATGACTAAATAACTAGGTCGTGGATACAAACTGGTTTAATGGAACAACCATGAATCACAGACCTACCATGAATCACAAGCCAACCAACGGAGGGAGCTTTCTCTCTCTAGATGCTAGAGAGAGAAGCAAGCTCTTGGATTTTCTCTGGGTTGTGAAGTCCAAAGAAATTCTCTAGGTTGAGAGAATTTCTCGGGAAATATTTGTCTAAGAATTTTCTCTAGGTTGTGGAGTCCGAAGAAATTCTCTGGGTAAGAGAATCTCTGAAAATGTTTGTCTGAGAATTTCTCTGGGTTTGGGGAGTCCAGAGAAATTTTGAAATTTTTCTGCACCGAATTTTCTCTGGATCAATGTTGAGGGACCTTAAACATTATAAAAATATTGAGTGTTTTTTATACTATAAAATCTTAATACCGGGAACCTTAAAAAAAATCCCCTTAAATAAATTATAATTATTAAATTGATTTTTTTATAATGATATATACGAAATTTTTTATAAAATAAATAGTTATAATAATTGAAAAGGAATCCAAATAATAGTCTCGTTTGAAAGTTAACTATCTTTTAGTAAGTTATTTTAGTTTTTTATTATTTTAGTAAGTTAAAATATTTATTTTTTATAAAAAGTTTAGATTTTTTTATAATTAGATATGATGTTTATGAGAAAAAAATTTAAAAAATTAAGAATTTAATGTGATATTGTATTTTATTAATTATTTTAACTTATTTTATCCTTTTGTAAATTTGAGTTTAAAAAAAGACAATTTTTAACTTTCCAAACACTCCAGTATTTTAAGAATGAAATCTCAATCTTCAAGTATAAATTCTAAATAATTCTATTGATATTAACATTTTCATTAAAAAATTTATTAAAAATATAAGAGATCAAATATAATAAGGCAATCAAACATAATGAGGCATTTACCAATTAATTTCATTGTCTAACTTTTAAAATTTATAAATAAATAAATATAATTAATAAGATCGATCGATGATGACTTTTATTAACTATAAAATAATTTTAAAAAAGTACGAAGAATTTTAAAAAAATAAGTACAATTTTTAATGCATACGTCGTTGATCGTACAATTTTGTGGGTCGTCGTCGGTTTGTTAGGCGAGTGGGTATCAACTTTCATCAATGTTTCTTCTCATTTATTTATTTATTTATTTTTGGTTACGAAAAGCTCGTTACAGCTTGTCATTCTTTTATTAAATTAGATAGATTAAATTAGATTGTTAGATTATATTATTTATATAATTTGTGTACACATCTTCAGATTAGGGTTAGGCTTGATATGTCTATTTTTTTTATTTAAATAGTTTATTTTTTAAAATTTATTAAATAAAATATTTAATTAAAAAATTAAAATAATTAGATATTGATAAATATATGGGAAAATCGGTCTAGGATCGCTCTCTCACTTTTCGTAATGGAAGAGATCCACAAAATTATTTTTTGATGTCTAAGGTCCCTAAACATATATCAGATGAAAGTTTCACTGGCTCCTCTCTTTCCACTCACTGAAAGACCTCTCAATCGTCTTCAACACTAGACAATTCGATTCATACAAACTCAATTTGACCGATTCAACGATCGGAAACTTCGAAACCGAACTTCAATTAGAAACCCTAGGTTTGTCCGGGATTCAACACTGCAATTACGGCCTCAGTTGGCTCTGGAGGAGTTGTAAACAGCTCAAGAAACTCCAATTGCAAAGCTGCTATGCAATCGACAATGAATCATCACTCTCATCGTTCGTCGAATGCTTAATTGGTCTCCAAGAAGTGGAATTGTGGACATGTAGGGCGATAATCAACGAGGTTCCTCTTCCTCCTCCTCTTTCATACACTTTCTCATTCTAGGGTTTCAAGTTCTTGAACCCCTTCAATTTCATTTTAATTCGTCATCCCCTGTTTTCCCTACTATTCCGTCAAGCTTTTACAGTCTATTTCATACACTTTCCTTACTCTTCTGTCCCTAATGCTTTAGATTTGCACCTTACAATGAACAAGTGTTTTCCCTACTCTTCTGTCCCTGATGCTTTAGATTTGCACCTTACAATGAGAAAGTGTGATGATCAATCTGGGAAGCAAGATGCAAAAGAACAAGAAATAGAATGTCTGGTTGTAGGAGATGCAGCTGTTTCAGAGCTCGGGGAGACTAAGAGTTTTTGGGAGGAAAAAATTTCAACTTCTTCTATGTTTGAAACAGATGCTTCAGTTCCTGAAATTAAAAAGACTGAGAAGCAAGATGCAGAAGCACAAGCGAGCAATGATCTTATTTTGCAGGATGCTCTTTTGAAGCCCTGGTAGACAGACAT